CTTGACTACTGACGAGGTGTAGGTAATAAAAGGCTTCTCCGCAAACCAGCACAGCGTAACACAGAACAGCACAACTCATGGAAGCCTTTCATCACCCGAGGCAAAAACCTAGTCACCATTCCAGGAGGAGCTTGTCTTCCCGAGGTCCCAAATTCAAATTCAAATCACTCCACATATGGGGCGGGCCCAAGTGTCGTACTCCTATACTAGCGGTGGTAGTAGTAGTAGTAGTAGTAGTAGTAGTAGTAGTAGTAATAGTAGTAGTAGTAGTAGTAGTAGTCGTAGTAGTAGTAGTAGTAGTAGTAGTAGTAGTAGGCGGCACTTGTAGATCAATTGAGCTGTGTGCTTGTTTGCCTTCCAAACAATTTGGTAAACACATGGTGCTCTACGATCATTGAACACAACAAGTTCGATTTCTGCAGCACTGGCCGCAAAATGAATCGACAGCATCCCGCCTGCTTCTCAGCTGCAGGCGGGAGGAAGGGCTGCGCCAGTTGCGGCGGGAACGGCTCAAGCAGTTCCGGCAAATCTTCAGACCACCTGCAAGGCTCTGCCTGGACATGAGAAGCCCGGACATGATCGCACGAGCATGTCAAGAATGACTCGCAGTAGCTTCTGCAAGTGGCCGCTAGCCGCTAGCTGCCTCGGAGGGGCCGCGGAAGGCTGCAATCAAGGCAGGCACCTGCTCTGACTCGCTATAGCATCACATGACGCAGACAGCATGTACGTGGCCCCAGGCAACAAGAGTGCAAAGCGTGTCGCTGGGCACGTCACTGCAAGCTATGAATGAACTAATGCTTAGTGGACAGGTATCACAGCTTCCAAGGTCTTCTACGTCACTATGGTGCTGCCAACAGCACACGGCAGGCACCAAAGAAGTCTTCAGCAGGCGGCCAGCCCAATCTACCCGGGCTCTTTACCTCAGAGACATTCACAGCTCTAGTCCCAGCAGAAAGTTTCCGAAAGAGTTAGCATTAGCCGTTCGCCCTTGTGGGCTTGATCGCCTTGGCTTCGCGACCCTCGAGGATTGTCTTTGTAGCCATGTTCACATAGCCCTGCGCACGGCTTGGCGACAAGCCACAATGCAAACCTTGCACAGTTCCTATAAGAGATCGCCTGGTAGTTCTGAATCCAGGTGAGCCAGAAATCGTGGAAGCCGTTCAGGGACCAAGGCTGTCCAGCCAAGTACTCCAGAGTCATCACCACACAGTCACCATAGTCGGTCAGGTCGCCACCTGTCTTTCCAGGATGCCAATTTCTCATATCCACGCCTGCAGTCAGCGACGCATTGTGACACACCTTCCCGCCGCAACTAAAAATCAGTGGCAGCCTGCAGTAACCAGAAAACATCCTTACCTCACTACACACTGCTCATCACTTCCTTGCCACTCATTGTAAAGCCTCGCCTGTGAAGCCAGGAGTCACAGCCAGCCCCAAAACCTCGGCATTGGCACGGAGGCGCTTGGCCACCGCAGGCACCGTGTCGTTGAGATTGATTCCTGGCTGGTGCAAGCTTGTGCAGGTAAAGGTTAGGCCCTGCATCTCGCACAACATGAAGCCGCAAAATACGAGGCCTTCCCTCAAGGCTGTTCTTGAGAAGCTTCTTCTTGGGTCCGCTTTTGGAGCTAGCCAAGGCACTGTAGAAGTCGCGAATCTTCTGATAGTTGTATTCGTAGTGGGTTTGCAACGCGAGGGCATCACCTGCAAACGGCTGAACTGCAAAACACTTTCGACCAGGCTACAGCTCCATCAGGTGAGACACATCGCAGAACACGGCCTAGTAAGGATGCCAGCACGATCGAACTCACGCGATCCTCTTTTCCGAGCTCGGTGCTCTCTGCCGGAACAACGGGAACCGTCGCTTGAAAGAAGAAACCTCAAACACTCGCATGCTGAGACAACTTCAAGCAACAGAAATCCCGACCCGGACTAGTTCACATAATCCAGCACTACAATTGCTACGAATCAGTACGCGAGCCCAAGCTGCCAGACGCTCTGTCAAACCAGTCCTGGACCGAAGTTTGCTGAAAGCGCCACAGGGCAGCAACCACCACCAAGACGTTGATGAGCCACTCGGCTTGCACCATGTTGACACATCAGCTTCAATCAGTTGTCCGGGTTTTTAGCCCACCTCTGGCCGGAGACAAGTACAGTTCGGTTCTTCTCGGCAGAAAGCCAACCGGAGCATCACGACACATGCTGCTGATGCTTGGGCAGATGTGGGGAAGGTTCTGCACCGGTAGAGAAACCCTGCAGTTAGAGGCTGCCTGAGCGAGTCTCGCTGAACATAGTGTCGAGTTCCGATAGTCTCTAGACTCTAGACTTACTTCACCTGATCATTTTGTTGGAAAGCAGATCCCTTCTTCAGATGCCCAGTTCTCTGGCAAAACAGCTTCTGGAGCATGTCATGCAGACCAACACGAGCGCCTTTACACGAAAGCTGTCTACATGTCTGGTCATGCTCCGCCAGGTATGGCACAAAGCTCGCAAGTTCTGCAGCTCTGATCATGTTAGAAAGCATTCCAATCGTGGCCCGGGAGCGGGACAAGGAATGGCCTTGGCAGCGCACACAGAAGATCACAGAAGGCTGTCAACGCTACAGCAGCTGCAAGAAACCGGTATGTTTTTGGCACTCACTCTCGGTATGTACAAGTCCGTAAATGTCATGTTGCATCTAAGGCCCTGACGCTCGTGCAAGGCGTGCTTGTTGTTCCGGTGACAGGCCTACAGGAACACCTGTGACCTTGTCGGGCTTTTGGACGGCACTCACACGGCCGAGGGTTCGGACTACACACAATTTCACGTCGAGAGAGTGAACGTCCCAAATTAATCACAAAAGTCACCATGCTGGGTGTCGAATTTGGCTCGTAGAGTGCCAAAGCAGCAATTGTGACTCTAGCTTCTGTCCTGGAGCATTGTCATGGCAAGCTATCAAACACACGGTCCGGCGAAGAACACTGTGAGACTCCCTGCCAGGCGCCCAGCTGCGATCTTGAGGGACTGCTGCCGGCGCACGAGGCCGAACTCCTTGCCATTGCTCCCGGTGAAAAGCCTCATAGTACTCAGGCACACATCGGCAACACGGCATAGACTTGCAAAGCTCGACTTCAGAAGGCGAGCGCTGGCAAGAATGGAGCAAAGCCAGGTGTGCTACACCATGACACTGCACCCGTTGGCATGCATACGATATCGGTGAACATCGTGATCATTTTTAGAATGTTTTTCCTGCTTGCAGGCTTGGTCGTCAGCCTGGGCAGCGTTCAAGCAGAGATTAGGTAGAGAGATCCGATGCGTCACTTCTGAAGAATGACAATGGATTCATCTGAAGTTGGTATAGTCATCGCTTGACGCCCCGCCTTTCCTTCCATACATCTTCCATGCCTTTGAAAGAAATACCAACCCAACTGGCAAACTCGTAGCATTCACGATCCTCGTCGTTGTCCTCTTGTGCAGCACAGGTGGTGGAAGGAGGCACCGCGTTTGGCAGCTCCTTGCATGCCTGCTCATATGCCCTTACGAGCTGCTTTGCCACCTCCGTTGCTATGGAGACGCAACGCTCGCCTTGTACGGCCCACTTGTCGGGGTGCCACTTTCTCGTCAGCAACAAATATCGTTTTCTAGCCGACCGTCGCTCTGAATGGCATCCCAACCAAGCTTCACACAAAGCCAGCCTGCCAATGCCCACAGTCTTTTCTAAAAGTTCGAGCAGTCTGGCAGGGGATTCCTCCCAGTCCATATGATGTGATGGCAGGCCTTGACACATCTGTTCGAGTGTGCACCGCCTGTCCCGCAGCGCCCGCAGCTTCTCGTCTCGCTCTTGTGCTGCCCGCGCTTGAGCATCCTGTGCTGCCTGCCGTCGTGCCTCTTGTGCTGCTTCGCGCTTTGCTTCGGTGCGGCGGCGGTGCTCTTCCTCTGCCCTCTCTTGCTCCAGCCGAGTTCGCTTTTGAGCAACCAGGATCCGCCCGAGAATGCCACGAAACCGCGCCTGGATCCTGGTGGCAGCACGTTGGAACTCGGCCCTACGTGGGGGTCCAGAGAGTCCACGGCTCGGACGGCTCGGACCTCGACTTCCATGCCTTTGACTAAAGACTTGTGCTTTGGGGAGACACTTTGCCTTCGCGGTTGCCTTTGGCATCCTGCTGTCGCAACAGAGACATCAAGCCCAAAGCGGCCCCTGAGCTTCAATCTGACTTAACAGGACAGCTTGGATACGAAGACTGGCTGGTGTGTTTCACTCAGTTGGGGAGCTCTTTATGCTCTTTGGGATTGCGATTGGAGTGAAACTCACATGTCCCTCACGGACTAGTCCGGGCCCACGGTGCAGGGGGAGCAAGGCAACTGTAGTGCTGAGCCACTGGAAGGCAGACCTGGTCCGAGTTCAAAGCTCTGCCAAGTTCGGGGCCGGAAGGAGCGCTCATCCTTGGAGTCGTAGACTATGCTGCAAGCGTACCTGTGACTTGTTTGAGTTTGTGACAAAGAAGCGCCAGGGCTCAAGATCCTGCGACGCTGCCCGAAGCTTCTACTGACTCGTGCTGAAGGCTAGAAGTCCAAGGAGTCCAACGACCCCTTCCTGGCTCCCATGTTGATGGCGACTGAACTGTGTTTGCCAGGGCTTGCGATTTGGGCAACAGGACATGGAGGCATTCTCTTCGGGGCACTTCCGCGCCCGACGTCGCAGCTGCTGTGCTAGGCAAGCCAGCTCCGGCTCCCGCCTTAGCGGTGGCAGAGAGGGCACAGCTTAGCATACCAAGCGGTGCTTGCTGCGGCCCAAGCCCTTCATCAGCCCAGGCTCCTCCACATATCAGCCTCCAGGGTTGAAGGCCTCAGCGTTGCCATGGGCTTCGGGGCACCTCTGACTGGACAAGCCGGGCCACCCAGCACCGAAAGACCACAAACCTCAGCAGGCAAGGGCCTGGAGCCGCTGCACTGCAGACACGTGCTCGAGGGCCCGTGCTGGCCGGCCCCCAATACGGAGGACGTAGTCGCCTCGTTGCAGTGGCACCTCAGCAGGCCACGAGAGGCACAAGGAGGCAACTACACCAGCATGGAAGCCAGTTTCTTCGAGCGCATCTTCCTTTCCGAGGGCATGGGTACACCGATGACCGAATTAGGCCATGCTCGCGCTGTTCGAGCTGCTTTTACACTTCTCAGTTCGCGAGGCTAAGCTTCAGTTCTCTTGCAGCACACTGTTCCGAGCACGGGCGCGGAAGTGGATTCCCCGAATTTGCTATGATCAAAGACTGCTTCAAACTTTGTCATGATCAAAGAAGGCATCAAAATCGTGAGAACAGGATTGAGTTGAACAGGACTGCCAGTTCCCATGTTTCCAAGTATCCTGAGGCACTTGTGTAAGTGTTCTAGAGCCTCTGCAGAATTCCACATAAACCGCCTTGGGACTCGACGTTAAGCCAGGCAAATCGCGCTGGAGAGCAAGATTTCCAATTTCTGCCCCACCGGAATCTTGGAGACTCCCAAAAAGGTGGAAACCAAAACGTCCTGGTACTAAAATTAAACCCCTCACCGGCTCAAGCCCGAAAAGCTAACCCCTCATCGCCTAAGGCCTAAGCGCTTCATATTACAGCCTGACGCCCTAAAGCCTTCCACCCACCCCCCCAATGGCCTGCAGCTTAGACACTCAAGCCCTGATTTATGGTCTAAAAGCCTTCGGTTCAGAGCCTGGAATTCTGGAAGCTAAGCCTCTTAGCGGCTCACGGCATTCACTCTCAGCCTGAAGCTTGACAGATCACCAGCAGCATTTAGCGCTTCTATTCCGCGCACTTTATTCGTGCTTCAGGAAACCTGCTTAGAAAATTCGAGGCACCGACTGGCTGACGGGTCTCAAAGTGATCGAACACGAAGCGGTGAAACAAAGTGTGACCTGGCACGGTCCCTTCTGTCTCTGCGTTTCATCCCCACCGCATGTACGCCCAAAGAAACACTTGACCGCAGTCCGGTGCTGAAAGGCTCATCCTGCATTCCTGCTTCCTGTACCGGCACAACTTTAAGAATGTGGGTCTCGAGCCTGTGTCACACCCTCGCATCACTTCATCCCGTCGAGCCCACGGTTCCAAAAAGCCTACTTGTCCAAGGCCGCGGCGCTCTCGTAGAAGGTGGTCCTGTTGCGGACGTACTCACGAAGGAAGGTGCGAGCAAACCCAGCAGGACCGTGCCAAAGCATCTGCACTTTGTCGCGCTACAAGCTACACAAAGTGCACTTGACTCATGCAATCGCCTCCCCATCTGTGGCCAAACCCACATCAGCTTCGCCTGAAATTTACTCACGAGGCATGCAGTCTCGCAACAACAACAACAACAACAACAACGACTGCTTGCACAAACACAGCTGGGCAACACAAAGCTATTTTGCCTGGTGCCATCCAACGGGAGAAAAACTTCGCCATGACTACGTCGATAAGTCGGTCGACAGCTACGGCTTGGAACATGACAGGCAATACTAACAGAGTTTTAACCTTTACGAGGACTTCTTGGCATTGCCTTCATTGTTCCAGACCTTAAATCATTGAAACTCTTGCACCACCTCCAGCGGCACTGTAGAAAGGTTGGCTCAATCCACGAGGAACAACTCCAACACCTCAGCCGAAATAGTCTTCATCAAATCTGCAGTGCGCCCGCTGCTTAGTGACTTAGTGGCCTCCTTTTCAAGGTTCAGGGGCTCTGGCAGGATGTGGAGCGGAGAATGATCTCTTCCGGTGATCTCTCAATTGGCTCACATGGCTTCGATAGCCTCCGCCTTCTTCACAATTGCGTCGGCCTGCACACCAAGCGAAACAAAACGGCGCGACCCAACCACAATGTCGATTTCTGTGCTCTCAGTCCCAAGAGCGCGCCTGCTTAATGGAGGCGATGTCCACCAGCTTGCCGTCCAAGGAAACAGCGCCAAGACCCTCGACAAACATCGCATGGAGGACAAACAAATTGCAAGGGAGAAGAAATTCAACGACGCAGCGCTGATCGCTCCTCCTTCTGGGCCTTCTCCATCGCTTCCAGAACACCTGCGAGGCGATCTGTGAGCTGTCGAGATATCGTATACGTCGTATACTTCGTGCCGTGAACACCTGGTGAACCCACACTCGCGATACCTGCGCGATGGTTCTTGTTGCAGGAAAGAGTCGTCTGGCTTGCTTCACTTCAGCTTCCCCAGGGCTGAAAACCTCATTCGCCAGAGCCACCTGTTCAGCTGAAGCTGGACCGTGTGCTGCTGCCTCGTCCTCATTTGATGGCATCCCTTCTAACTAAAGTATCACATGTGCTCCCTGTTTAAATGGCAGCAAGACCTCGACCCCGGCCAACGACCCACCCCGCCTCAGCCGATCTGCACGACCCCCCACCCCTCCTTCCTCCGGACCCACAAGCGGTCTGACCAAAATTGTCCTTCCCCACCCCTTCCGCCACTCCCCTCCCCTCCGCCCTGCCCCCCCCCTCTCGAAAATTAGCACCCTGGAGCTGTCTAAAGCCAGGCCTGGCTGGGATGAATCGCCCATTTTCCCTCCATGCCCAGGGCAGCTCCACGTTGGCATTGAGCCTTCCAAGGAACGATCTTTCCACTTCCACTGGAGAGAAAGGATTCTGCTTTGGCCTTGTAGCCGTCGGGGTCCGCGATGTCGCCGAACGGCCCTCAACTTCACACATTCAGCTTACATGTCTTCACGACGGAGCTTCAACCAATGGTGTCCAGCGGCCATCAACGGGCCGAAGGCCGTTGGCACGTGCTGCCACCACAATCCTGCGACAACCGCCCTGAAGAACCCCGCATCGCCTGGACATACCCGACCCATCGCGTCCTCGACATGGCGTAGTGCCAGGGGTCCCCCCAAAAGAAGTCTCGGGCCTTGTCGCCGTCCTCAGCAAGGCTCCCGCAAAGCTTCAGAGCCGTTGCGTCGTGTTCAGTCCTTGTCTGTCAGCACCCCGTAGAGCTTGTTCGGTCCGCCAATGTTTGTGGTTCGCGACTTGGTGGATGCTGCATAGTCCTGCCGAGTATAAACCATACCAAGCCATGTCGAATACATGGTCCACATGGCCACCGGTCCGCCACGCCAAAGTGGAGGGACTCGTTCCGCTTGGAAGCTGCAGCAATCTCATGAATGTTCATCATACCTGACCAAAGTAGTCACATGCTCGGCGGCAAATCGTGTTTCGCTCAGCCTACAGCCTCAGCACTGCACGAAGCATGTAGGGAATGACAAGCACCGTTCGTATTCATGTCAGGTCACCCAGGGTGGCTTCAATGATAAGCCCAAATCCGATTTTCTTCTTGCGGCCCATGAACTCCTGGCGAAAAAACGGATTCCTTGCGCGAGCTCGAAACGCAAGCCTGCTTCACACAGCGACAGCATGGTCAAAGGGCGAATGTCGAAAGCAGAACCTTCAAGGAGAAAGTGTGGCATGCCCACCGATACGATAAAAGCTTGCGAGGCTTCAGATAAAAGCTTGCGAGGCTTCAGATATTATCTTGAACCAAATCTTTTCCTCCTCACTCCTCACCAAAGAAAGTTTCGGAAAAGCCCAGCTCAGCTCTCGCACGAGTATCTTGAGCATGCTGCTGGGAACGGAATCACGCCGCCGTGCCTCGACCTGGCTGACTAAGGAGTCTGCCATGTAAACGTCCTCGCGTGAAGTCTGCTGCTCGGAGTTTGCGAATCTTCCGATGACTGATGGATGCCAACCAACCACCTCAAATATTATGCACAAGTTGGAGCCCGTCATCCTTTCCATTGCCAACCATCGGGATGACAAACATGTCGCATCGCTCGCCCGCCTGTAAACAGGCAACCGTACTCGCATGGGTTGCTGATGCATTGTTATACATCTTGCATCGCCAAGACCGCATGTCTTGAGTCGACGGAAGCATGGTCTACAGTACGACGAGATGCATGTTCTACATAGCGGTAACATAGTGTTAGTTGGACAAACTAGGCAAACCCGCCTGCTCGATGATGTCAACGACATCGCGGTACATGTGGTGACTGTACAAGCCGTTGATTCTCACCTGATCTTCTGTGCCCGGAAGAATGGCACAGTGCGAGCGTTCTGTCATCATGCATCAGCTCTACAAACATTGGGAAGCTGCCAATCAAGATCCATGAAAGTCCCTGGCAGCAACGGTCTTGCTGCCGAAGTCGACTTCCTGTTGTGATAAAGGGAGAAGAGCCTGCTAGGAGTCTTCAGCATCGGATAGAAGCGTCCTTCAGAGCTTGGATGACATTCTTTCTTGCAACCTCCTTCTCTCCGATAGCAACCGAATCTTCCAGATCCATCACCTTTGCTGTACAACACTTCTGATGCTGTGCAAATGCTGAGCATTGCTGAGCTCAGTACTGAAGCATCTTAAGACAGATCAACGGAAATCACTTCCACTCCGGACGGTTCCAACCGCTGAAATCCGGAACAGTGCTGGCAAGGCTCCACCACGTCCGCTGCAGATTTCGCAGCCTTGGGGATAATCTTCGCTTGGGTGCCGGGCACATAGAGCTCACAGCCTAAGCACGTCCGTCATACTGTGAAGAACATGTTTGGCAACTCTGGGGCCCAACCTTTTGCATTGACTGTCTGCGGCTTTTGGCACTACAGACAGAGCCCTCTTTCCCGCTGCAAGAGCACAACGTGCGAGGCTCCAGCGGTTCAATCTTGGGGTGGCCTGGCGAGAACAACTACATGGCACAAATGCCCCGACATGCAAGCAAACGTGAAGTGACAATGCACGAGGCAGTACTGTGAAAGCAGAAAAAAAGCAACGAAATGCAACAGGGTTTTCTCTATTTCAGCAACGACAGGGGTTCTGCAAGGCAAAAACACTTCGAAACGCGTTCGGGTAATTCCTGCACTACTGCTTTTTCTGACTTCTGCTGCTCCTTTTAAGTCTACTTCTACTGTCACTGCTAGTACCACTACGATTGCGACGACTACTACTATTACTAGTACTAGTACTAGTACTAGTACTAGTACTAGTACTAGTACTAGTACTAGTAACTAGTACCAGTACTAGTACTAGTACTAGTACTAGTACTACTACTACTACTACTACTACTACTCCACTACTACTACTACTACTACTACTACTACTACTACTACTACTACTACTACTACTATTGCTACTGCTAGTGCTGCTGCTTCTACTACTGCTACTACTACTGCTGCTACTGCTGCTGC